AACACAGAAACTAGTTCAGAAATAGCTCCAAGAACAAAGTTCCAGTGAACTCTTCTTGAAGAACCTACAAGATGACAAACTTTTTTTTTTTTTGGACAGGTAGAGTTATAGACAGTGGGAAAGAGAGACAGAGAGAAAGGTCTTCCTTCTGTTGGTTTACCCCCCCAAATGGCCACTACGGCTGGTGCTGCGCCAATCCAAAGCCAGAAGCCAGGTGCTTCTTCCTGGTCTCCCATGCGGGTGCAGGGCCCAAGCACTTGGGCCATCCTCCACTGCCATCTGGGCCGCAGCAGAGAGCTGGACTGGAAGAGGAGCAACCGGGACTAGAACCCGGTTCCCATATGGGATGCCAGTGCCGCAGGCTGAGTGTTAACCAAGTGAGCCATGGCGCTGGCCCCAGAAGACAAACTAAACTCACAAAGAGATTAGTGGAAAATTATGGCAAAAAGACTGGCGGTGAGTACTGATTCTGTTTAACTGTGGGACTTAAGCTAAAACAAATGTGAGTTATAATCCTAACAACATGGTCAAGGGATCAGAACACGCCATCATAAAATATGCCACTTCGGCATAAAGATTATTTTGATCTTAGCACAACTGAGAAGCAGCAAACACAGAAAGAATTCTTTGCCCTCCCCGACTCCCTAAAAGTAGAACACAAATTTCCCTCTATGAAGGACTTCTCCCTCTCTCACACCAGGTGGAGGAAAACAACCCCAGTGAAAACTGGGGAAGAAAGCTGGCACCATGATGGGTCTGCACTTACTAAGATAACTCTTCTCTTCCATTAATTTCTCCCATATATTTACCTTCTCACAATTTATTGCTCCTAGGGACCCCAATTCATTTTCCTTTGTCCTCTTCCTTCTCCACAACTTTATCTCCCTTTGTTAAGTCTGTGTACAGGCCTCAAATTATAATCATCACTGAGTTCTCCCAAACATATGTGCATTTGCATACATAGACTCTGCTCTTTCCCTCCTGTTACATTCTGTCTTGTTATTTTTTTTTTTAAAGATTATTTCAAATGCAGAGTAACAGAGAGAAAAGGCAAAACAGAGACAGCCCCTCTTTTGTTATTTTAATTTGCAAGTCCCAGGTACTAAACTAAGAGTAGAGGAAAAGAATTTTCCTCCTTCCTTAAAGTTTCAATGATTTAACTAGCAGGACCTGAGACAGGAAGGGGAACAATGGTGAATGATAAAATAAGCACTTTGAGTTTCTAATAGTTTAGAGCAGGAGGGTCAGAAGATAAAACTGGGAACAAACAATTCAAGTTAGAAAGATATAACTATACTTAAGGCATTAAGATAAGCACCACAAAAACTGTTAAACTCTTTACTTAGTATAGAGTTGATCTTCTGTATATAAAGATAATTAAAAACGAATCTTAATGAAGAATGGGATGAGAGAGGGAGTAGGAGGTGGAATGGTTTTGGGGGTGGGAAGGTGGGTATGGGGGGGAAGAACCAAAAATATATTCCAAAAGCTATACCTATGAAATTTATATTTATTAACTAAAAGCTTGCTAAAAAAAAAAAAAAGGATAAGCACCAAGACAAATAATACAATCTACTTTAGCAGAGACCAACATTTCTCTTCCCCAGTTTTTTGGTCTGGCATATGGCTAACTGAAATTAGAACTTTTTTCCCAGCCTCCATGCAACTTTAGAGATAATTTTTAATTAATTAATTAATTTTATTTGTTTGCATGCCTTTCATAATTACAACTTTAAGAACACAGTAATTCTTCCCACAATTCTCGCCCTCCCACCCACATTCCCACCCCTCTTTCTCCTCCCTCTCCTATTCCCAGTCTTATTTTTTACTATGATCCATTTTCAATTAACTTTATACACCGAAGATTAACTCTATTCTAGGTAAAGAGTTCAACATAGTCCAGAAGAGCCATAGCCCCAGGAGTTTTAGTGGGTCACAAGACAATGTCACGCTGAACCACCCTCATGAGACTAATACAGAAAAGGCCTAGGTCTTTGACATAGGTCAGTATCCTACTAGGAGCTCTGGAATGACCACCTCCTATCTTTGTAACATAAGACAGAAATCAGTTTGTTTCCCTTTAGCCACTTAGTGGTTTTGTGTGTGTTACACCAAATTAATCCTAATTAATATGAGCAATACAAAGACTACTTTAAAATGAAATGAGTAGACAAAAGAGGACCTGAATAAATGGAAGCGTATCCTGTTCTTAAAAAGGAAAACATAACATCATAAAGATACCAATTCTGCGTAAATTAACAGACATAATAAAAATACCGAAACAGTGCATTTTGTAAACTAGACAAGCTGACTCTAAAATTGACATAGATAAAATACAGAAGCCAGGAAAATTCTGTAAAACAGGCATCCTGAAGTAAGGAGGTGCGTGTGTGTGTGTTTGTGTGTTTTTGTTCATTTTTTTGTTTGTTTTAAACTATAATCATCAAAATAACATGGTTCTACAGGATGAATAGATTGATCAGTGGAACAGAACGGAAAGCTTAGAAGTAAACTACATACAGGAATTTATTAAGTGATAAAGGTGATATTTCAAAACAATGAAAAAAGCAAATTATTCAACATAGCTAACTGTATAATCATCTGGAAGAAAAGATAAAATTTTCCCACATTACTTTAAGCTATCTTCTGTATGGATCAGAGGAGGATGGCCTAAGTCCTTGGGTCCCTACACACACATGGGAGACCCAAATGAAGTTTCTGGGTCCTGGCTTCGGCTTGACCCAGCCCAAGCAGCTGCAGCCATTTGGGGATGAACCAGAGGATGAAGATCTTCCTGTTTCTCCTTCTCTCTCTATTACTCTGCCTTTCAAACAAATACATAAAAATCCTTTTTAAAAAAAAGTTGATTACACAAAAATAAAAAGTATAACAAATTGATGAAAAAATTCTCAATTCATATCACAACAGATGAAAGATTCCTCTTTTTTTTTTTTTTTTTTTTTTTTTGACAGGCAGAGTGGATAGTGAGAGAGAGAGACAGGGAGAAAGGTCTTCCTTTGCGGTTGGTTCACTCTCCAATGGCCGCCACGGCTTGGCGCGCTGCGGCCGGCGCACCACGCTGATCTGAAGGCAGGAGCCAGGTGCTTCTCCTGGTCTCCCATGGGGTGCAGGACCCAAGCACTTGGGCCATCCTCCACTGCCTTCCCGGGCCACAGCAGAGAGCTGGCCTGAAAGAGGGGCAACAGGAACAGAATCCAGCGTCCCGACCGGGACTAGAACCCGGTGTGCTGGCGCCGCTAGGTGGAGGATTAGCCTATTGAGCTGCAGCGCCGGCCGAAAGATTCCTCTTAATTGGTAACAAACAGCCATCAATAAAAGCAAACATACAAGTATATTAGGCCATGAGAATATAGAATATTAAAAAGAAAGAAGGTCAAGTTTATCCATGATTTAAAAAAAGAAACAAAAACACAAGGCCAGTGCTGTGGCATCCCATATGGGCGCGGGTTCAAGTCCTGACTGCTCCACTTCTGATCCAGCTCTCTGCTATGACCTGGGAAAGCAGTAGAAGATGGCCCAAGTCCTTGGGTCCCTGCACCCGTGTGGGAGACTCAGAAGAAGCTCCTGGCTATTGGCTTCAGCCTGGCCCAGCCCTGGCCATGGGTGCCATTTGGGGAGTGAACAAGTGGATGGAAGATCTCTCTCTTTGTATCTCTTTCAAATGAATAAATAAATCTTAAAAAAAAAAAAAAAAAAAGTAAAGCTTCATCCAGATGCAAGGAAAAAACTCCTTAACGTCCTTGCCCTTTCTGTCCATAGGATTATGGCAGTCAAGCCCAAACAGAGGAACACAGGGGAAAAAACCATGGAGGGAGTTGTTTGCAACTTAGAAATAACCTTGTAAACAGTGAACAGCCTAAAATTTGAGATTACTTAAGAGGTGTTGGAAAATATTCCATACCACGCTCACCTAGTTGAGGACACCTTTAGAAGTTTATAGAATAGAAAATAAAGCCAGTCAGTGACTATTCAAAACCAAACAGACAAATAAATAAAACTAATGGTTGTGCTTTGAAAATCAATGTGTTAAACAATTTTAGAGCATTTGCTACTTCCAAGAAAACTGTACAAAGAAGACTATATCTATCAATTGACATCATCATGCATTATAAATTCTTTGATCTTCATTCTTGTGACCTTATATACATTAGAAATCTAAAGGTCTGATGATCAAAAATGATCAACCAGGTAATAAAGGACGATAACTTCGAGTTGGAGAATAGTATGTCACACTCAATAACAAAGTGCGCAAGATATTTTAATGTACTGATGACACAGTATAGTCAGATAATCATTTCAAATGTGGATCAACTGAAAGAAAAATATGGAGAAGGGTTTCAAACTGTCATAGCATTATTTGTTCTAATCTACTGCTTTCTCCAGTTCAAAGTACATGAAACATTTCTTTGGAAATTGTACCAACAGTTTGCTTTCAATATTGCAAAAGAAACTCTTCTCCCTCAGTTTAGAAAAAAGAAAAAAACAACTAAGGACTTGGACTCTGATTTCTTTTTCTGTTTTAAATATTTATTTATTTATTTGAAAGGCAGATTTACAGAGAGGCAGGAGACAGAGAAGTCTTCTATACACTGGTTCTCTCCCCAAATGGCTGCAATGGTTGCAGCTGGGCTGATCCAGTCTCCCACACGGATGCAGGGGCCCAAGCACTTGGGCCATCTTCTACCGCTTTTCCAGGCCAAGACAGAGAGCTGGAATTGTAAGAGGAGCAGCTGGGACTCAAACCAGTGCCCATATGAGATGCCAGCATTGCAGACAGTGGCTTTGCCCACTGTGCCACAGTGCCGGTCCTGGACTCTGATTTCTAAAGTCTCCTCCAACTAACATACTATTTTCTCTGTTCTATAATAGCCTTGTAGTACATTTGAATGATACAATTTTACTTACTACGCACATACACGCACACAAAGACATATATGGAATCTCATACAGAGAAAAAGGTATGTCTAATGAATGCTTACCTGATAACGTGTTGGCTGGTTGAGAATGCTGTTAAAACTGTGTGATTCAAAAACTCTTGAGTTAGACTGAGTGAAGAGGTTTAACTAGGAAAGAATACAATTAACCTAGTAAATTAGAATACATTTATTTGGAATAAAAAATATAATCTATTTTATTTGCCTTGATAACATTTCTGGAGTCAACATTTCCAAGAAACATTTTGTGGAAGTTGGGTTTCCTAAGTGAGTTAATGTATTTTTGAAGGTAAAAATTAATGTGAGCAACATGCCCTCATTCATCAAAATGTTGGCAAGATGTACTGTAACAGAACTGTTTAACTGAAAGCATGTTTTAAAATGTTGGTTCATACTAGACGTAATTTTCTCTGAGGGCCTTGTATACTTTATAAAAATGTGCTCATGGCATTTAGAAGGCAAAGTTCCATAAAAGCATTAGGGTAGTTCCTGAGGCCAAGAGCCTCCCTTAAATTTGAACAGACACATATTACATTTCAGATGATATTATTTAGTGTTTTGCAGCCTTAAAATGTTAGCCAAAATAACACATCTTCCCAAGCATCTTGGCCTGATTTTGAGTCAAGTTCACAGCTTTGGTGAGAATTGGGCTAAGGAAATTTCATTTCGGTTTTTACTTTCTTTTTCTTATTAATGGTTTAGCATTTAAATGGGCAGGAATGTAAAGCAAGAGAAGCCCAAAGGTATTGGCTATGCTTCAAGTAGATGTATGAGTAAGACTTGCAAGTAAGACCAGGCAAACTGCCATCTGCAAGGTGTTACTCCAAGGCAGGAGCCCACACCCCAAAAGGTGTATTCACTCTGCCACCTGACTCCCCACCGTTACAATTGAGGAAGGTATGGGATGCTAGGGAGGAAGAGAGTGGCACTGGTAGGCATGGACCCTCCTAATTTTGCTCTTGTTCTCCAAAACCCTGGCTAACTGAGCAAATTCTCCCATTTGCCACTGGAGGTCAGTGCTGGCTGCTGACTCCCAGTTAGTATAGGTTAGCAGGGAAGATTTCTTGAGGCTCCTTTCTCTTTTCTAAAAAAGAAAAACAGAAAAAATGTAATTTCTCCAAATTTTCACCACATTCAGTCTACATAGAGTGGTTCTATGAATATGAATAACATTAAAAAGACTTTAATAGCTCTATGTACAATTTTATTAAAAAAATAAAATGGCAATTTCTAACCAGGACCCAAGGAGCACACTCCTGGGAGGCCCATGCTCAACTTCCATTGTTAGTATCATCTCTGAGAAATGCTATTCCTCCGGGTCAAGGGTGTGACACAAGCGCCAGGGGGCACCCAACACGGAACACCTCTAACAGAATCTCCCTATTGCTCTGGCAAACAAGCTGTGTTCCCTCTAGAGGGCGCTAGGTAGCCACAAGCCACCTGGATGTGCTCATCCCAGCTGGAGTTTTAGTGTCTCCTACCTAATGTCCCCTTCTACCTCTGCTCCCTGCAGGAAGAAAATTCTGGGTGTATTCCATGAAGTGCAAGAACTGAAAACCCCCACATTGGAGAAGCTTCCTTTTTAATACTAAAGCCTCAGTTAAGAAATCCAAGAACAGAATCCTTTCTGGAAAAAAAAAAAAAAAAGAAGAAGAAAAGAAAAATTAATTTCCCATTAGCAGGAGCTGCCCAGGATGATAATTACAACCTGGTCCCTTAAAGAGGCTAGGTACCTGGTTGGGAGGAAAGGGGCAGGAACCAAGCCTAGACTAAGTCAGCTGAACAGGCAGCCAACTTCCATAGAGACAGCTGGGAATCTGAGGCCAAAACTTGACTTCCACACCCACCCTAACACACTAGTTAGCTCATGAGACCCCACATAAATGAGTTCTTTAAATGGCTTCAGTCACTTTACCTATAAAATGGGAAGAATGGTCATACCTACCTCACAGTGTTGCATGAGGTTCAAATGAACAGCAAAGCACTTTGTAAACTGTGAATAAGGAAGGGTACTGATATTTGTTGAGGTTGGAACTTTGACATCTCATATAATCCTCACAATAACCTGCAAAGTTTTCTTTTTTAGCTCAATTAAAGCTCAGAGTGGTGAATGATTTACCTGCAATACTTGCTTTTGAGTTTTATGAAGCAGAGTTCAAATCCAGGTCTAACACAAAGACTCTTCCTTATATTATACTGCTTCTCACTGTATACATATGTTAAATCACAGGATGTCACAGCCAGTCACTGCCTTGTAACTGAATAGCATTAAGGGCCCACATCCAGGTCAAATACTTTTTTAAAAAAGATTTGAAAGTTCACTTTCATAAAGGATAAATGTCCAGGGTTATCACAAATATTGGAAGCTCATATATATATATATATATAGGTGTATATATATATGTGTGTGTGTGTGTGTGTGTGTATATATATATATAAAGAAATTAAATTGAACTCAGCCCTTTCCTCCAGCTTCAACCAAGAAAAAACATCCACCTGTGCTCAGGAGATCCTGTATTTTATGGAGAAACATTGACGTTTTGTGGGCTCCTAGGGTACTGCAGCTACAGACCATTTCCTCAAGTTTAGGCAAAAACCATTTGCTCCTGTCTGCCTGCTTTGTACCTTAAGATGTGCGGTTTACCCGTAATTTAGGCTTTTCTGCCAATTCTATCTCTGAAAATTAACTGCATGGAATTAGAGTGCCATGCTGAAACTTATCTTCTTTGTTAAACTACGATTCAACTTGGACAACTCAAGGGCAAACCATTTGAGCTAAAAATGAGGTACTTATGATTACTTGAAGATGCTCTCGGGCTTATATCTATTCTATGATACTAAAGTAAAAAATATTACTTAGCACAGCAAAGGATCTCTACAAAAAAAAAAAAAAAAGAACATGGTGGTGGTGGACACATATACCAAGAGGAAATCTGAGGTTAAAGCAATTTAACCTCAGAATAACAGTTGAGAAGCATGGAACACACAAAGATGAAGTGTTTACTGATGATAATTTTTTTTTTACTTTTAAAACGTTAAAAGAGGTTTTTTTGTTTGTTTGTTTTGTTTTTTGTTTTTTTTTTTTTTTCCAACCAGGTACTTTACAAGAAGTTCTGACCAGAAGCTGGGCATAGACTAAGTGACTTCTTGAAACGTTATGCAGTTATCAAGTATTAGTCTATGAAAGGCTATGGAATGGATGGTTACTTTCAGCATCTTCTAGGTTCACACATAAAAATTATTGAACAAAATCTAAAAACAAGGAGAAAGAGAAAAAATATCTATTTTAAGGTCTTGGTAAGTTTCTGATACCTACCCTGGATTTGGAGTTACCGATTCCCATTTCTAGATCCTTCTGTAGCCTTCTCCTTCTGCATTTAGAAAAGTTAATGATTCGCATGATGAAATAAACAAATGATTTTGGACTAGGAACTAGACTGAAAGGTGGAGGTAATGTTTTCCCATCATCAAAATAAGACAACCAAAGTTTTGAACGGGCAAACTTCCACTCTACGTCACTGTCATCCTAAATCACAAAAAGAGAAAAGACGTAACTATTTTAAATTAAAAATTAAATATTCCAGAAACTGATAACATAGGTTATTACAATGTATCTAAATTTGTTTTTGAAATAGGTGATTCTAGTAAAACACATTAAGTTTCATAGTAAAACACATTATATATAACAAACAAAAAAAAGAACTTAATACTTTACCCTTTTAGTATTTTTTATGTTCTACTTAAAACTATTCTTAGGTGTTTAATTAATGCTATAACTAGTACTCAAATACTATTTTACACTTTGTGTTTCTGTGTGAGTGCAAACTGTTGAAATCTTTACTTAATATATGCTAAATTGATCTTCTGTATATAAAGAGAATTGAAAATGAATCTTGATGTGAATGGTAGGGGAGAGGGAGTGGGAGAGGGGAGTGTTGTGGGTGGGAGGGAAGTTATGGGGGGGAAGTTATTGTAATCCATAAGCTGTACTTCGGAAATTTATGTTCATTAAATAAAAGTTAAAAAAAAGAGAAATAGGTGATTCTGTACCCACTGAAATTTAACCAGATTTTCCTGTCCCCCGACCAAAAACAAAGCAAAAAGACAAGAAAAATTCAGGGCCAAGAAAGGATGAAGAGGTTTATTCCCCTCTCATCCCCAACTCCGACAATTCTGTATATTCAGTTATGGTTCCACACTCCACCCACCCTCCCTCCTCCCAGGACCCATCCAAGTCAGGCTGCAGATACAGTGTAGGACACTTCAAGGGCAAAGGAAAGAAAGATGAATGGCTTTTTGAAGTTTATGTGTCTGCCACGTGTCCTCAAATTGTCACATGAATCCCTCAGTAGCCTGGAGCTGTCCCATATCTCCTTCCATTCTTAGTGTAGCCGTGTGGTTATGGGCATGGCCATCCTAAACAATAGGAGAAATTGGGGGTGGGGGGGGTGGTCTCCAAGTGGTGGAAGCTGGCTCACTCAGGTCACACAGCCCAGACCACCATTACCACCCCTAGCAGCCTTCAGAGTACCGGAGTTCTCATGCGTGGAGGAACTAACTTGTGCTTTGAGAGCACTGAGTTTCTAAAACACTCATACAGATTGGATGGAGTTAACAAACAGCAATGCACTAAGAAGGCATCGCACACTAAACTGGAGGAGATAAAATATATACACAGTGATGAAGAATAGCATCAAACTAAGCCCACAAAACCAAAAGGAAAGTGATTGCTAGAACACTAAAAATTCTGACTTGTTAAAGAACATTCTCAATGTGTGCCAGGTATCTAGAGATTCTTTCACCGGGAAGAATGGTGGGCGCTAACCTAGGAGAGAATAATTTCCCAGTGGCCCATACTTCTAGCTAATAAGTTCAAAACTTCTGAACACACCCTGGAGGAAGGCAGAGTGGTGGCAAATTCATGAGACCTCTGCTATGTTGCTAGAAGACACTGGAAAGTGTGTGACTGCTGCAGGTGGAAAACACGGGCAGGGTCCAAGCTGCTTAGAGTGGAGCCCATTTGTTACGTGGGCCAGAGCTCTGCCACAGGGCACCGAGGTAGACACGGCATGCGATCAGAATGGGTTGTCAAGGAGACAGGCTTACCTCAATTTCTTGATAGGAGCTATTAATCATAGCAATTAGCATGTTGAGTAAAACAACCACCATAGTTACATTGTATATTCCATAAAGAACATATCCGATATTCTCTATGAATTTGTGATCGTATTTGAGCACAACAGAAGTCACTTCAGACAACCCAAATATTGACCAAAACAACGTCTTAAAACTTTCTTCCACACTGTTGAAAAAATAAGGTACGCAGTAAGTCATTAAAAAGTCACAAGTAAAAGCAAGTTAGAATCTGATATTATACAGATATAAAATGCCATCACAGTAAACTCTAAAGGTAGAATTATCTTGTTATGATATTTAACAGAAGTTAATTCTCCCAGGTTTTCAGGAACTGGTGATGAAATGGGACCAATGCCCAGCTTTTCTGATGTTATCATCAAGTGAAAATTTTCTGAACTCGGCAGGAGAAAGCTGAAGTCATGTCACAATACTCATTCCTTTCATCTAAGATGCAAGTATGTGGTTTGATTTTTGTAGGTGGCTTACAAACTGAAATCTGGCTCTCTGGAGTAGATTAGGGTTGGAATTAAAGTTATATATTCACTTTAAAGAAGTATGTATTTCTTGTAGTACATATTTCTTGTAGCACCAGTTGCAGTGAAATTATTTGTAAATAGAATGAAAACAATGTAGAGAGCCATCAGTAGGAAGCAGCTAGATAATTCTGGTACATCCATACTATAGGATGCTATGCAACCATTGAGGGCGGAGACAGGGGGTGTGGATGAAACAGACCAATCTTCAGGAGTTTTTATAAAATGAAATACAAGATTAAGTAAAAATATAAGATATAGTATGCACGAAATATTCTACCACTTCAACAAAAAAGGGGTACACAAATCCTTACATTCTGTTTATGTAAAAAAAAATGCCCCTGAGAGTACACAAAAAAAGCCATTTTCTCTGGGGACAGATGAGAACTAAGAGACTGGGGACCATGTGTAGGGAGGGGCACAGGCTCTGTGCTGTAGCTACCTCTCTATTGGAATTTTTGGTCACAAGAATAGATAGTCATCCCTTGGTCAGTCACCCCTGGCTGACCCTGGACTTCTAAGACTCCCACAGATACCAAAATACACAGTGCTCAAGTCCCTTGCGTAACATAGCACAAAATTTGCATACAAAGTATGCACATCCTCTTGCATACTTTGAGTCATCTCTAGGTTACTTATAATACTTAATACAACGCAATTGCTATGCATTATTATTTTTGGGGGAATAATGACAAGAAAAAAGTTGATACATACCCAATACAGATGCAATTTTTTTTTACCCAATATTTTTGATCCACAGTTGGCTGAATAGCAAATGTGAATACAGACACTGAGGGTCAGTTATGTTATCTACTTAAAATAACTCTGAGCTTAATTGGTACTGAAAAGCAGACAACAGAATGGAAGATTGCTATCATTTCCCCTTGATTTATGTAGTCTACTTATTACTCCACCTTAATAATCAAGCACTTGGGCCCTCACCAGACTTTTGTCCCTTAAATAATTTTTGGCACCATGTATTTACTAAATTTTGTCATACAACTGAGTTGTCATCACTGATCTGTGCCTGACTGAACAGTCCCTAAACTAAAGTTATACACGTAGCATTTTATGAAGGGTTCAAAAATAACTCCTTTATCTAGAAAAAGATGTATGGAAAAGACTGTTTTTGACTTCTCATCATAGATTCCAAACAACAAAATTCTTTAGATTTATTGGTTTAAGTACTAGTTTACTTATTCATTCATCCATTCAACACATATTTATAGAGTATCTGGTATGTTCTAGAAACATTGCCAGACCCCGGGAGAAGAGAATTGAATAGAAAAGTTTCCATTCCTATCATTACTATTATGGAACATCTAATTGTATGATGTAATACTCGCAGCATAGATGCTGATGGGAGACTATGAAAAATTACAACCTCCTGGTTCCTGTCATTTATTTAACCCTGTCACAAAACTTCTGCTCCTTCCCCTTGTTCGTCTACAGATCGTCCTGCCCCTAACCTCTGTTCACACCTACATGGAGTGGCTGTGTAGGGAAGGGGATAGGAGAACAGAAGAGACACTGGCAGTTCTGAGCCCCACTGTGGGCCCAAGGCTTTATATAACTTGCCTTACATAATCCTCACGATGACCTTATTTAAACCTTGTTGTGCTTATTTTAAAAATAAGGAAACCGACACGGAGAAATGTTCAGTAACTTAACCAAAGGCCTGAACTGGAAAACCGTGCAGATTGAATTCAAATCCAGGTTTGCCTGCTTTCTGGACCTATGTTCTTTCTACTACATCAGGTTGCCACATCCCCAGTTAAAACGGTGAAGAAACCATAATGGTTAACACGAGTTATAGAGTTAAAGGAGGAAAGGCAGGGGTGGCAGAGTGTTCAGGATGTCTGTCTTTTTCCACCTGGGTTCAAACAGATTTTTTTTTTTTTCGCAACAATAAAGAGAGTTTCAGGTCTCTTTTACTTCTAAGACTTGTTCTATATTAAGTATTTAAAAAATTCACTTCAGAACAATTTAGGTGCCAGCCAAGGCTTGATATGCTGCTTGAGTCTTATTGAATGTGTCACTTGTTTCCAGTTGTGGCATTACAGGCGACAAGGGGAGAGTAACCAAGGGATGCTTTACAACACCCACACCTGGAAGGACTGAGGGAGGGCCCCATCGTCAGGACAACCAAACATCACTGGGTGAGGAAGGACCTCACAGTCTGCACATCTCCAGGCTGAGGACCCGGGAAGGGACAACCATGTACGGAGTCTAACTGGAGAATACTTTGTGGAGGAGGTGAGCCTTCAGTGCAGAAACCACCATGACCAGATGGAGGAAATGTTATCACCTTTCTAGGGGACTGCGAAACAGTTAACTATATGCAGTACTGTATTCTGCATCCTGTACTGGTGAGTGAATACCTGGAAATAAAAGCCGATGTTTCCTTTTAGAAATAGTAGTACTGGTTACAAAATGATGAAACTGCATTTAATGTTATATACACGATAAGATTTAGAAATCTGCATTCCCATTCTCTTAAAGTAGCCCGTCTGATCTGATTTTTCCAAATTCTGATCCATTTTGAGGGCAAACTCTAAGCAGAATGAGATGGGCCTTCAGGGTAACACAGTCACACAGAAGCACTGTTTCTAGTGAGTTCTTTCTGCTCTTAAAAAATCTATATTACAATCATTGACATTTTTCATCTAAACTTATTAGAATTTCTCTTCATCACACCTTTTTAATAAGATATTTTACTTACGTGGTAAAAGCAGGATTTACTTTAGCCCCAAGGTAGTAAGAATAAAGTATGAACATGCCAATCATAAAAGCCAGAAACACCATAATAAAGAGGACCATGAACTTAAATATGTCCTTCACAGTCCTTCCGAGAGAGATCTGTAAGGGGCCAAAGCTCTCATTTGCAGGGAGGATGTATGCGATCCGAGAGAAGCTGAGCACAACAGCTATGGCATAAAGGCCTTCAGAAATGATCTGAGGGTCAGAAGGGAGCCATTTATCTCTAGCTAGAAAAGAGAGAGAAAAAGATTAAAAATGGAACCTTCTATTCATTGCCAACTATGCAAAGTAAATAGCTTAAATAGGATCTGTCTTGTAGGTAGCTGGTTATTATCAATCGACATTACTCTAGATTTAATGAACTGTCCAAACATTATTTTTCATGTTCAACCAGAAACGTAAATCTTGTATTACTCTCAATGAAGGAAACCCTGCTTCACAGGTACCAAGCTGACTCCATGTTGAGCAGAAACAGAATAAAATACAAAAGATAAGATAGAGGTTAAAACACTTCATTAAACACAGGCCATATCCAGGATGACAAAGAGCTGACTGGACTGATTTATTCTCTCACTTATTAGATTTATCCACCAATTATTTTGTCATCCTACAGGCACAGCTTCAGTAGAACTTCTCTTCCACATCATGTAGGGAAATTCGTTCATCAAATAGTTTATGCAAGTAAAATGTCAAATGATGAGGAGTGAAAATGTAACTGATCACAGCAGTGCTGACCATGTGATATCTGAGTACCATAACTTGTTCCTGGAAGATGGAAAATGCCACTTAATTATAAAAATTTTGGACATTAATTCTGAACAAGCAACCCTAACAACCTTTTTAAGGTCACTTACAAAGTGTGCAGCAGACCCATTTCTCTGGCAGACCAGTGAAATGGTAGGTGGTTAACTTTGAACAAACCGGTCATTCCTGAAAGAATGGATGTATTATAGATATTTGCAACAACAACAAAAATGAACATTTACTGCATGTCTAAGATGTGTCGGACACTACTTCCAATGACACTATGGAGTCTGTGTGTTATTATCGTCTTTTTGGAGATGTTGAATCCAAGACTCAGGAAAGTTAAAACTTGATCCAAACTTCACATCTAGGAAGCAGGGATACCTGAACTCATATATTCCCCACTAGAAAACAGTCACTCAATGCACATGAATAAATTCAAATTTATATAATATATCACTATACATATATATCACAATCTAAGAGATACATCACAACCTAAGCTAACTTTTCATTGCAAATGCTGATCATTTTCTCATTCAGATGAATCTCCTGGTATATACAAACCTTTGCTTGCTGACAAGAAGAGGTAATGTGCTTAAATTTCAGAATGTACAAAACTTACATCTTATATTTTGGAGCGGAAGCCAAGTCTTATACTAGAATGTCAGCATGCCGTGTATACTCATCATAAGCCCTAATTACAATTACAGGGATTCTTCACAACCAGACACCTTTCAACTCTGTGCCTTAGTATTCTAACCTGTAAAATAAGGCTTAGAGAATAATTTCTGATGTCTTTTCCAGATTTAAGATTTTACAGGCCGGCACCATGGCTCACTAGGCTAATCCTCCACCTTGCGGTGCCGGCACACCGGGTTCTAGTCCCAGTCGGGGCGCCGGATTCTGTTCCGGTTGCTCCTCTTCCAGGCCAGCTCTCTGCTGTGGCCAGGGAGTGCAGTGGAGGATGGCCCAAGTGCTTGGGCCCTGCACCCCATGGGAGACCAGGAGAAGCACCTGGCTCCTGCCATCGGATCAGCGCGGTGCGCCGGCCGCAGCGCACCGGCAGCGGCAGCCATTGGAGGGTGAACCAACGGCAAAAGGAAGAACTTTCTCTCTGTCTCTCTCTCTCACTGTCCACTCTGCTTGTAAAAAAAAAAAATTTACAACTATGTGAACATTTCTAATTGCAAGTTCTCAATTTGTCCTCAAGGAAAGGGAAATTGATAATACTTAACACTGGTTTGTTCTGGGCACACTGCCTCCATTCACACTGATGTCAGTCATGTCTCCCTGCCCTTCATGATCTGGAAGAGTTTGGTATGAACCTCATTGCATGCCATGTGAAAAGCACAACATTCTCCCCAGTGCTTCTGTTCTCTAAAGCTCACATTCTCAAGGTCATTTTAGTGCCTACTTCCTGTCTCTATTGAATTAATGTTCACTTAGCCTGCAGAGCAGGTTAGGACCTTCATTATCTTTTCTCTTCAAACCCTCACTCTTAGGGACTCACCTTCACATTAAGCAGTTTATCAAGCTATTTTTTCTCCCTAATTAAGACAGTCTCCTGCCCTAAGAGTAATTATGTTGTTAGTCTTAAAGATAATTTTCTCCAAATTTGCACTTTTTATAGACACAAAAACTAAGGCACACAGAAGCAAATTACCTTGAAAAAAGGTACATATCATAGTTTAGATATGAGCCAGTTTGGTAGAGCTCTGAAGCTCATTCTCTATCTACTGTTCATAAGCATTCAACACTACTTTCACACTAAACACACAACAATCCCACCTTACCTGCAGGTACACTTTCCACAGTCAGCCATGATCTGAAAATATTAAATGGAAAATTCCAGAAGTAAACAATTCCTACATTTTAAACTATGTGCTATTCTGGGTTGTGTGATGAAATCCCATGCCTTAGAACTCCATCCTTCCTGGGGTGTGAATCATGCCTTTCTCCAGTATAACCACACTGTCTGTATATGCTACCCTCCTGTTAGTTACTTGGTATCTTGGTTATCAGAACAATGCTGCAGTATCACAGTGCCTGTGTTCAAGTAACCCTTATTTTATTTAATAATGGCTAATGGCTCCAAAGCACAAGAGCAGTGATGCTAGGGCTGACATAGTGATGCACTCAGTTAAGGCACTGCTTGCAATGTTGGCATCCCATATGGGCACTGGCTTGAGTCCTAGCTGCTCCACTTTTTTTTTTTTTTTTTTTAAGATTTATTTATTTGAAAGTCGGTTACACAGAGAGGCAGAGAGAGAGAGAGGTCCTCCATCCAATGGTTCACTCCCCAACTGGCTGCAATGGCCAGAGCTGTGCCGATCTGAAGCCAGGAACCAGGAGCCTCTTCCGGGTTTCTCACATGGGTGCAGGGGCCCAAGGACTTGGACCATCCTCTACTGCCCTTCCAGGCCATAGCAGAGAGCTGGATCGGAAGAGGAGCAGCCGGGACTACAACTGGCGCCCATATGGGATGCCGGCGCTTCAGGCCAGGGTGTTAACTCCTTGCGCCACAGCGGGGCCAGCGCTCCACTTTTGATCCAGCTCCCTGTTTATGTGCCTGGGAAAGCAGCAGAAGATGGCCTCAGTGTTTGGGCCCCTGAACCCATGTGGGAGACCTGGATGAAGCTCCTGGCTTCTGCTTTTGCCCTGGCCCAACCATGGCCACTGTGGTCATTTTGGAAGTGGACTAATGGGTGGAAGATATCTCTCTCCATCTCTGTCTCTTCCTCTTTTGCTCTGTAACTCTACCTTTCAAATAGTGCAGTGGAGGATGGCCCAAGTCCTTGGGCCCTGAACCCGCATGGGAGACCAGGAGAGGCACCTGGCTCCTGGCTTTGGATCAGCGTGGTGTGCCTGCTGCAGCACGCCGACCACAGCAGCCATTGGGGGTGAACAAATGGAAAAAAGGAAGACCTTTCTCCCTGTCTCTCTCTCTCACTGTCCACTCTGCCTGTCCAAAAAAAAAAAAAAAAGGAAAAGAAAATAGTAGTGATGCTGGCACTTTTATTACTGTACACTGCTATACTTAATTTATTATTGGTTAGGACTATTAATTTCTTACTATACCTAATTTAAACATTAAACTTCATCATAGGTGTGTATGCCTAGGAAACAACATAGTACATTCAGTTTGGTACCATCCACAGTTTCAGGCATCCGCTGGCGGTCTTGGATCCTATCCTCTGCAGTATGCAGTAGGGAGAGACTACATTGATCTTAACTGCATTTCCTCCAAAAACATGGCACCAAGACCCTTCCAGAAACATAAGCAAACCCTGCAGCCAGCAACTTACCATAGGTGAAATACTGTATCTCTGGCGGGAGGGTAACTTCACTGAGGTCGCTCTCCTGGACGTAGCTGTCCACATACTGCTGTGCTTTTGTCGCCTGAAGGAAAGCTAGAAACCTGGCCGTGAATGCAGCAATGAAAATGGAGAGCATCCCAAAGTCGAGCACGTTCCACAACTGCAAAATGTACTCCCTCGGTCCTTCCAGCCACAGCTCTTTGCACTCAGACCACATCATCCCTGTTGCGACACACACCGAGGGTGCCGGTGAGACCTCACAGCCCAGACTGAGATGCTTTTACTTAGCCCACCATCAGGACACGTCTATAAAATGCCCCACAGGGCTGTACTAGACACTGGCTGACTGTGGGGTCATGGAGGCATGGGCAGTTAAATGGAAGACGACAGGGTGAAAAGAGAGAGACAAGGAGGACAATAAGAAGATAGAGAGAAAGAGGAGAAATGGAAGAAGCTCCCACCGGGGGAATGATTCACCCACTAAATTAAAATTAGGAGAAACCCACTTAGGGGACTAGAAACCTCATTCATTGGGGTACAGGGGGTGAGGTGTGTTGGGGGCAGGAGAGAAGGAAGGAATTAAGCAAGGAAGGCTCTTCAGGTCAAAGGATTTTTTTCCCCATAAGACTTTTAGAGCCGGCGCCGCGGCTCAATAGGCTAATCCTCCGCCTTGCGGTGCTGGCACACCAGGTTCTAGTCTCGATCAGGGCGCCAGATTCTGTCCCGGTTGCCCCTCTTCCAGGCCAGCTCTCTGCTATGGCCCCGGGGGTGCAGTGGAGGATGGCCCAAGTCCTTGGGCCCTGCACCCCATGGGAGACCAGGAGAAGCACCTGGCTCCTGCCTTCAGATCAGCGCGGTGCGCTGGCTGTGGTGGCCATTGGAGGGTGAACCAACGGCAAAGGAAGACCTTTCTCTCTGTCTCTCTCTCTCTCTGTCCACTCTGCCTGTCCAAAAAAAAAAAAAAAAGACTTTCAGAGCAGAGGAGATTAGGTGTCCTCCCAAAATCACAAAGGTTAATTATCAGGCGCTGGTAATTCTTAGAGATACATGCTGCCAAGTGACACCCTGACTGTATAGTAAGAATCGCTTCCCACTCATCCGGAAGCACTCCCATCATTTGCTGCCCTCTCTCCTCATTTCCGCTTCCTGTGGGGAGGTGAGGCACATCATTCGGGAAAGAGGAAACCTTTAACTAGGAGGTTCTGGAGCATTAGGAAGAAACTGGAAACAGAAAATGCCATTCTGGGGGCCAGCGCTGTGATGTGGTAGGCTAAGCCTCCACCTGTGGCGCCGGCATCCCATACAGGAGCCCATTCAAGTCCCAGCTGCCCCACTTCCAATCCAGTTCTCTGCTAATAGCCTGGGAAAGCGGTGGAAAATGGTCCAAGTGCTTGGGCCCTTGCATCTACATGGGAGACCTGGAGGAAGCTCCTGGCTCTTCGCTTTGGATTAGCCCAGCTCTGGCTATTGCAGCCATTTGGGGAGTGAAGCAGTGGATGGACTATCTCTCTCTCTCTCTCTCTCTCTCTCTGAGTCTCTCACTCTCCCTGTCTGTAACTCGCCTCTCAAATAACAATAAATAAATCTTTTTTAAAAAAGTGTCTGCATTCCTTGGTTGCTCTTTGGGATGAGAACCTCAGTACCTTCCAGAGGTCTGGAGAAAAATGGAAAAAAAAGGAAATGCAATTCTGGAAAAAGAGGAGAAAACACTCCAGTTTAACAAACTGTCCTGCCTGTATGGTGGAATTTTTTTTAAAGAAATGGTCTAAAATAAAATTTGTAATATAATTGCTTGACCTAGGTTGAAACCACAGGAGTAAAAGAAGAGGAGAGCTAATGCATAGATTGCAGAAATGAACACAGGCCAGGAAACACATTGGATGAAACAATCAGAAAATGATATTGGATTAGTAACCAAAAGACAAACGAGTTCCACTTCCACTTATGAGGATGCAGCAAAAAATAAGTTTTGTTTTTCTCACATTGACTTAAAATGCTTACTTTAACACAGCTATTCAAGAGAGGTTATTGTGAGGTGAAGTAACATGGAAATGGAACTCTGGAACCTCCCCCCACCCTCCACACACACACACACAAAAAACAACTCTCCAAAAATCTCTGAAAACAAAGCAAGATAAGAGTTCTTCATGTACCGGTTAACAGCCACTAGGTTATTTCACAAGCATTTCAATTAAATCATCTATCATCAAAGAGAGTCACATTTAAAAACTTACATTTTGTTCAGTCACTGAAATTTAGGTTCGTGTTACTCATAAAAGTTGTATTTAGTGTTAAGAGATACCATTTAGCATTATCTAGCTATCAAATTATTAGCTTTGCTTACTGAAACAAAATCAATTTGGTCATATCTTCCAGTAGTGATGTTGTCACCATATAAGGTGTAACAATACTTTTCACAGACAATATGATCATTTATATAATTATTTCTGGTCACTTAGAAGAGCGAGCTTACCAAGAACCCAGACCATAATGAGCATTTCAGTCCATGTGAACTGGGTGGTTTTTACCCGGAAGATCTGTTTGGGGTAGTCAATGACGGTGATATTTGGCAGCGTGGTGATGCCTTCAAACCTGTCTGAGGCATTGAACACAAGCAGGCCCAGGAAGATGATGAAAGAAGCAGCATGTGCCACAAACTTCATAAAAGGGCTTCGCAGAATTTTCCCCAGCTATAATGAGACAAAGAAAGAAAGAGGCAAATTCTGCTTTCAGGAATCTGTCTTCTATTTATGACCATTATGATAAAGGGTTAAAATAACAATAACAATCCTAATACTAACTAAGAGTGGGTAATTGGCACAGTGGTGAAGATGCTGCTTCATCCCCACCCCATATCAGAGTGCTTGGATTGGAGTCCTGGCTCCACTTCGGATCCAACTTCCTGCTACTGTACATCCCGGGAGGCAGCAGGTGACAGCCCAAGTGTCTGGGTCTTTGTCACCCACATGGGAGACCCAGACTGGTCTGGGTTCCTCACTTCTGCCTGGGCTGGTCCTGGCTATTGCAGGCCTTTGTGAATGAGCCACTGGGTGGGTGATCTCTCTCTCTTTATGTCCCTCTATCTTAAATAAGTTGGAAGTAATAAAAAAATAAATACATTTAAGTAGATGAAATGAGAACACTTTCAAAATTCTACTTCTGTTTCTGAAGAGCTATAGATTGGGAAAACTAGTTTTTTAGGGGGTAAATTGTCATTAAAAATAACAGTACGTTTTCAAAATTAATTGTTTCTAAACATCAATTTTGCTTTAGGGTTTACTGCATTCACAGATACAATTCTGGAAGGATATATACTGATTCTTTTTTTTTTTTAAGGTTTATTTTATTTATTTGAAAGAGAGTTACAGAGAGAGGTAGAAACAGAGAAAGAGAAGTCATCCACCACTGGTTCACTCCCCAAATGGCTGCAACAGCCAGAGCTGAGCCAATCTGAAGTCAGGAGCCAGGAGCTTCTTCTAGGTCCCCCAGGTAGGTGTAGGGGCCAAGAACCCGGACTATCCTCTGCCGCCTTCCCAGGCACACTAGCAGGGGGCTGGATCAGAAGTGGAGGAGCCAGGACTCGAATCAGCATCCATATAGGATGCTGGCACCACAGGCTGGGTCTCTAACCCACTGTGCCACAGCACCAGCCCCTGATTCTTGCTCGATACGAAAAACTACACAAAGTCAATGTTTTCAAGGTCCAGGAAAATTAATTTAATATTTCTTTATTGTTTTGTAATTTAAATGTTACAATGAGTTGTAAAATCATAAACATTAAAAGCTCCTTTAAAGTTAAAAAATAAATGACCATCATAGAAGTATAATTACTTCTATGGTAAAATAGAAGTAATTACCATAGAAGTAATTATACTTCTATGATGGTAATTTTACCATAGAAGTAAACTTTAGTTTTCATTTTTTAGAAATGCTTTATTTATTTATTTGAAAGGCAGAGTTAGAGAGAGAGGTATCTTCGATCCACTGGTTCATTCTCCAAATGGCTGCAATGGCTGAAGCTGGGTCAATTCGAAGCCAGAAACCAGGAGCTTCTTTTGGGTCCCCTAGGTGACTGCAGGGACCCAAGGACTTTGGCCATCTTCTGCTGCTTTCCCAGGTGCATTAGCAGGGAGCTGGATCAGAAGTAGAACAGTTGGGACTAGGCACCCATATGGGATGCTGGCTTTACCCGCTATACCACGGCACCAGTCCCTAGTTTTCTTTTTCCTTTATTTTTTTTTTTAAAGATTTATTCATTTATTTGAAAGGCAGAGTTACAGAGAAGCAAAGGCAGAGATAGACGGAGGTCTTTCATTCGCTGGTTCACTCCCCAGATGGCTGCAATGGCCAGAGCTGTGCTGATCCGAAGCCAAGAGCCAGGAGCCAGGAGCCTGGAGCTTCCTCCAGGTCTCGATGCAGGTGCAGGGACCCAAGGACTTGGACCATCTTCTACTGCTTTCCCAGGCCATAGCAGAGAGCTGGATTGGAAGTGGAGAAGCTGGGACTTGAACCAGTGCCTGTATGGGATGATGGTGCCGCAGACCCACAACACCACAGAGCCAGCCCAGTCCCTAGTTTTCATTTCTAAATATTAAAAAATCAAATCGTGGGCCGGTGCCATGGCTCACGAGGCTAATCCTCCACCTGTGGAGCTGGCACTCCAGGTTCTAGTCCCAGTTGGGGCGCCGGATTCTGTCCCAGTTGCTCCTCTTCCAGTCCATCTCCCTGCTGAGGCCCGGGAAGGCTGAACCAACAGAAAGAAGATCTTTCACTCACTCTGTCTCTCTCTCTCACGCCTAACTCTGCCTGTCAAAAAAAAAAAAAAAAAAAAAAAAAAAAAACAAAAAAAAACACAAAAAACCTCATGATATAAAAAGGAAAAAATAATACAATCAAGATAAATATTTTATCTATTAGTACTACAATAATAAGAAATACACAATAATTAAAACCTTTAAGTAGGCTAACAAAAGTCATCTCGGAGATGGGAAAATCATGTAAATAATGCAAAACTTCTCTTTCTTCTTCTTTTTTTTTTTTTTGACAGGCACAGTGGACAGTAAGAGAGAGAGAGATAGAGAGAAAGGTCTTCCTTTTGCCATTGGTCCACCCTCAAATGGCTGCTGCGGCTGGCGTGCTGCGGCCAGTGCATCACGCTGATCCAAAGCCAGGAACCAGGTGCTTCTCCTGGTCTCCCATGCGGGTGCAGGGCCCAAGGACTTGGGCCATCCTCCACTGCACTCCTGGGCCTTAGCAGAGAGCTGGACTGGAAGAGGGGCAACCGGGACAGAATCTGGCACCCCGACTGGGACTAGAACCCGGTGTGCCGGTCCCGGAAGGCAGAGGATTAGCCTATTGAGCCGCGGCGCCAGCCAGCAAAACTTCTTATAAGTTCAGTTTATAATTATTTTAAGGTGATTCCTTAAAAATCCCCATGATACAACATCCTTAAAATTTTCATGTTCTAGTAGAAATAAAAAACAAGTTCTCCTCTCCCAAGGGCTTCTACAGGCCAAGAATTAAGCATGTTTGGCAGATTTATCCACCAAGTTCTCTACACATTCAGACCTGGCTTTTGAATTCATCTGTGAACTTAAAAAGTGCAGAAGTTCACATTTAAGAGATTATAATGTCAAACATGTGATTTCGTATGTCCAGAACCTTAACTGGATGTCAACAAATGATCCAAGAATATCAAGTATTTCTGGGATAGAACATGAATACACACAGACAAATGTCACATTTTTCAATTATACGTAGAAAAGTAACAACCTATTTACATATCACTCTGCTGTTACACAGCTGCACACAGGATGCCTGTGGGTAGCCTGTCCTTTGCCCACAGTTCTTTCTTAGGTTTTATCTAAAGGTTGCTCTTTTAAAACTTTAGATAACATGAAAAAAGAGCAGCACACCTATCTCACAAGTGGGACATGAGAAGTAGTCTTATCACGCTGCTATTCACTGTACTGAGACCAATTACCTAGAAAGTAGAGGCAGGACTCAGCTTCTCCCCTGCCTCTCTTACCACAAGATGTCCTTGCCTATTCTTTACTGAAAGGAATTCACTGAATTAAGGGAGTGGTGCAACTGGCCCTTCAAGGTTCTAATCATCAGGCTCAAGAAGTCATTTGCTTTTCCAGTAGATAAACTGTCGGCTAATACCGTCCAGAGGGGTTTGTGTTGCGAAATTCCAGATCCAGGCAGGAAAATCCAGGACTAGAACTTACATGTAACCCCAACCGTGTCCCCCTCCCCCAACTGAAGCCCATCTGGCCATATAAAAATTCCCTAAAGAACACGGCATGACTGACTAAAGAAAGGTCGCAAGCACAACTGAGCAACCAGGAACTTGGACATGAGCTGAACATACACATCTCAACCCCAATTTCAGTCTATAAGAACTTTCACTCCTAACCCCTCAGGGAGCCCAGGAATTCACAGCTCCTTGCTCTGTGCTTTGCAAATAAATACCTACTTATTTCTAGCACCTCAATGTCAGTGATTGGCTTTCTGTACGTTGAACAAACAAGACCCAAGTTTGGGGGTTCTAGAGCAACACCTCCAACTAGTTTGGGGTTTTTATGCAACAGTAGGGCAGGTGCTGTACGGCAGCTTTAAACATGAGCTCTAGAAATGGCCCAATGCCCAGGCTTCCCTTCTCCTCTCAGCACAGATCACCATGCTGTTAGCTGCACTTTTACAAATGAAAAAGGGAGTGGACCCAAAGATGCCTACTTTGAACCTGATGCAATGTTTTAACTGATTGAGCTGCCCTGAAAGACAAACATTTAGGAGCTGTAACTTTTCAATGTATTTCCTCCATAAAGGAAAACTGCTTGGGTGGGATATGATCTTTGCTTTATTGCATGATCTTTCATATTATTTATAGTTCTATAGTCTTTGGTGTTTATAGACTTCAAGAATTTTAAAGTAGTTTTCTATGATACATAACAAAAGAACTTGGTCAAGTCATCAAACTTGATCAAAATGACAAACTCTCTGCCTTAAATTGCACCAGGCAAATCAACAACAAAGCAAGATGAATGAATATTCTCATACATATATGGTGCCTGTGGGGGGCATGGGAAGGGGGTGCCGAGCCGGAGAGCTGACTGATTTCCAGGGTCATGTGTAGGTGACCTTGGCTCATTTTGCCTGAAACAGCCTGATTTAAATAAAACTGGATTCTGGAATATAAAAACAGGATTAAGGGATCTCAGAACAGCTCCTTCTCCCTGGCAGTGCCCTGTATCAACCCAACACAGACTCTGTTAGCATGCCTTGTCTTCTTTTCCACATCTTGCTTGGGGGATCTCTTAGGCACAAGGAAATTGATTACACTGCCAACTTGAGAGGAGAATTAAGGTTGAGAACAAAATGATCCAAGAGAAACTAAATAACCAATATAAAATATCCAAACCCCTCAAACCCCAATTCTACATTTTGTAGAACTTTCTAAAGGAACAAAGGGCTAGAGGAAGCTGAAGTGCCTTTTCTTGAAGTCTTTGGATAATACTTCTGTTCTCAAATGCAACTTAATACACTCAGCCTTAGATTGCTTCTGACAGGTTCAAATGAGTTGCCCCTAAATTCCAGCTTAACTATTTCTTGGTACCACCGCAGTAGGGCTATCTGTTCCTCTTCCCTGCCATAGGCCAGCCTGGCTGACATTCTCCTTATTAAGCTGTCAATGGAACTGGCATAAAAGCCACTTAATTCAAACAGCTTTTCCTCCTCTCTGTCTACCATGGGGATTTTATCTTACAAGCCTAAGCATTTTATGCCTGCAAATGTGATCTATCCCACTGGTACCAAATCCCTTTTCATCTCTTGTATGAGTTGACCCAGTCATTAGAAAGCAGAATCTGTGTTCTTGAGTCAATTAACATTCAGGGTGAAACTGATAAGAGCCTTGACTACAAAGCTCTTTCTTTTTTCATCCCAGAGGGACAGGCTGCAGCAAACCCAGAGCAAACATGTGTGGAAAGCCGGTACCCTGCTGCAAGGTGCGATCCAGTAGCCGATGGCGAGGAACGGGAGGCCCAAGGCTACAACCAGCACAACCAGACACTTGATGGCCACGGTCTGCTCCCGCAGGCCCGACAGGTTCTCATACCAGATGGTCAGAAGCTGCTGCTGGCAGTTGGGGTGAGCCACAAACTGTTGGGAGGGGGGTAGACACAGAGAGAGAGGGGTGGGGAGGGGGGAGAGAGAGAGAGATTACCATACCATTATCAACATTCAGACTACTGAATGCTTGGGCATCTTAAAGATATCAACACATCTTCTTCCAGAATAGAGGCACTGGAAATTCTAGTAATACACTACTTTGCCTTCTTTCCATTTTTCAAAACTGCTTCCTAACTATGAGGGGAACTGAAGTGCAAACCAGAGGATAAAAGTGATGCTGTTCTTGGGGGGGTGGGGGGAGCTATTGTAATCCATAAGCTGTACTTTGGAAATTTATGTTCATTAAATAAAATAAAATATAAATATAAAAAAGTGATGCTGTTCTTAATCATAGTCCTTTCTAACAGAAACCTTCTGTAGGTCACCAATTCTTCTGTGGAATCAGGTGATTCCTGGTCTCTGTTGTGAAAATGCGCCCTCTGTTGCCATCTGCTGGCTTATTTTCATTCAGTTCCAAGTGGAAAAGAACAAAGTCAATTGGTTTATTGTAGACTATAGCTGAAAGAGAAATGTTACTGAGTTTCATGAGCAACCCCTAAAATGCTACATGTATGAAAAATACATATGAGCTGTGCCCTGTGTATGCATGTATGATTACTGCAAACCTGTAGAAGATCTGCAAAAAAAGTATAAATAAATGAACCTGTGGCTATTATGCTGGGTTCACAGAGGCCCCGCGTGCAGAAACTGGCATCAAATGCTGTTTTCCTCCTATTTCAGGAATCTGTCCTCTGCTTTATTGCTTCCTCTATCACAGCCAAAAGAAAACAAACATTTACCACTAGTGGGTCTTTTATAACTGCAAGTCTAATCAGGAAAAATGAAAAAGTTATACTTATTTCAGCCCTGCTGTTTGATTTTTTCCCATGTGACTTTCCTAAGTCATTTATTTGCCTGCATCATTTAGAGAGACTGGGATTTCCTTACTGCCCTGTCCTTGTTCAGGTAGGAGAATGTATTCATGGTCAAGCTCATGAAAAGTTTCCTACGCCTAAAAGGTGCCCATCTGCAGCTAGACATGCCTTTCTTTGGCCATATGCACTTTACCTAAGCTTGGGAATTATTAAGCATCACTCAAAAATCAACTATGAGTAACGACATATTTTTAAAAAACTTTCAGCAAGACAGGGCCATCAGAGAAGGAGGTACCTTTCTCTGAAGGGAGGAGAGAACTTCCACTTTGATTATGGCCTTGTCTAAATAATGTCAGAGTTTGTGGACTCAAGAGGCTTCCATAGCCTTGGCAGCTCATGACAGGAGCCTCGGGTGATCACTGACATCATAAATAAGAGTGTCAATTGTTAAATCAACAACAGGAGTCACTGTGCACTTGCTCCCCATGTAGGACCTCTGTCCTTATTGTGTAGTACTATGAGAATTAATGGTAAAACTAGTCTTCAAACAGTACTTTATACTTTGTGTGTGTGGGTGCAAACTGTTGAAATCTTTACTTGGTATAGAGTTGATCTTCTGTATATAAAGGTAATTAAAAATGAATTTTAATGAAGAATGGGATAGGAGGGAGAGTAGGATGTGGGATGGTTTGTGGGTGGGAGGGTGGTTATGGGGGGAAGAACCACTATAATCCAAAATTTGTACTTTTGAAATTTATATTTATTAAATAAAAGTTTTCTATTAAAAAACTGTTTCAGCAACACAGAAGTTAAGGTATCGCTGTCTTATGAAAAGCAAAATCAACAGTAACAATGAGCCTGTTAGAAAGTGCCCATGAAACGTTTTGGGGAACTCTGAAAAGCAAAGAGGGCAGCCGGAGTTCCCACTTGGCAAAGGGTTCTTCTTTCCTCAAGTGCTGATGATCCTAATGATTCCTAGTAACCCCAGGCCATGCTTCAAGTTATCTGGCAACGCATCAATAGTGCTTCTACTAGGCAATGAACAGGCTTCCACTTACTGGTGCAGACTTTCCCAACAGAGATTTTAATTTAAACGGGGGGTGGGAAAGACTCTTCTCTCTCAGGGTAGGCAGTGGAAGCACAGTTTCTCCTAAATCCCTGCTCCTGCCCACAGTGTACACTCATCCTAGGAGAGGTCCACTGCTGACCTCTTTGGCAGCTGTGGCTGTGCCACTGGGCAGGAGGACTCAGCTACCCGGTGACAGAGGTGATGAGAAAGCATGATGCATTTACAAATATGAGACGGGAAACACACTGAATACCTTCTGGATGCCTGAATTCTTTGCAATAACACTAACCAGTAGTGTGTGGGAGACTTAAAGTCCTACAAAGATGCTCTCTCTTACTGCTTGATGCATCAATGTGAAAAAGCACAGTGCCACAGGCGAATGTTTGTGTCCCCCCATCCACAGATGCCTCTGTTGAAATCCTTACCGCCGATGCGACAGTGTAAGGTGGAGCTTCAGGGAGGTAATTAGGTCATGAGGGTGGAGCCCTGATCAGTAGGATCAATGTCCTTATAAAAGGAAGCCCAGAGAGCCGTCTAGCTCTCTGCCACATGAGCGTACCATGAGAAGCTGGCAGTCTACAACCCCAGAAGATGGTTCTCACTGGAAGTCAACAATGCTGGCCCCTCCAGAGCTGTGAGAAACACATTCTGTTTTTACAAACCACCTAGGATATGGTACTTTGTTATAGCAGTCTGGACTAAGACACACTATTTTATAAGCGTCTTTTAATTCAATTAGGAAAATCTTAGGTCCTGAGGTTCACCAGTTATTTCTAGCTGCTAAGTATGTGTCAGATCTTTCCAAACTCAAGCTGCAGTTACTCTTTTAAGGTTCTGATTTGTAAACAGTATTTCACAGACAAATGCAGTCATTATTTGCACTTATGATAAAATTTATGAACATAATCAAAGGTGAAGGTTCCTGGATTCCATATGAAGATCCTAGGATTCTTGTTGAGAACTTTCCCGAATTTCCAGTTCTATTCTTGTACTATAATTGTATTATTTCCTTCCTGCTTCATTCCTACCTCTGCAGTTCCTATGTCAATCTCATTCATTCATTTATTAAAATGCCCTAAGCCCCTATTGGCCAAGCACTGTGCTGGGCATTTGATACAAGATAAAAATAGGAATATCAGTGTTACACTGAATAATCACTGTTCTGGGGGCACACAGTAAATTCCCAGTAAATGCAAAAATAAGCTATTAGAATAGAGACTTGAATTCTGAATACTTGTCAAGATGAGAATTTTAAATAGAGAAATAAGAATTTAATTATTTATTAGTATTTAATTAATTTCTGTATTTATTAAACTTACTCATCTAACTTATTTAATTTTTTATAGAAAGATTTTATTTAATAAATATAAATTTCAAAAGTACAAATTTTGGATTATAGTGGTTCTTCCCCCCATAACCACCCTCTCACCCCCAAACCATCCCATCTCCTACTCCCTCTCCCATCCCATTCTTCATTAAAATTCATTTTTAACTACCTTTATATACAGAAGATCAACTCTATACCAAGTAAAGATTTCAACAGTTTGCACCCACACACACAAAGTATAAAGTACTGTTTGAAGACTAGTTTTACCATTAATTCTCATAGTACTACATAATAAGGACAGAGGTCCTACATGGGGAGCAAGTGCACAGTGATTCCTGTTGTTGATTTTTTTTTTTTTAATAGGCAGAGTGGACAGTGAGAGAGAGAGAGAGAGAGAGAGAGAAAGGTCTTCCTTTGCCGTTGGTTCACCCTCAAATGGCCACCGCAGCCAGCGTTCTGCAGCCGGCGCACCGCGCTGATCCGAAGGCAGGAGCCAGGTGCTTCTCCTGGTCTCCCATGCAGGTGCAGGACCCAAGCACTTGGGCCATCCTCCACTGCACTCCCGGGCCACAGCAGAGAGCTGGACTGGAAGAGGGGCAACCGGGACAGAATCCGGCACCCCGACTGGGACTAGAACCCGGTGTGCCGGAGCCGCAAGGCGGAGGATTAGCCTAGTGAGCCGCGGCGCCAGCCCCTGTTGTTGATTTAACCATTGACACTCTTATTTATGATGTCAGTGATCACCCGAGGCTCTTGTCATGAGCTGCCAAGGCTATGGAAGGAAGCCTCTTGAGTCCACAAACTCTGACATTATTTAGACAAGGCCATAATCAAAGTGGAAGTTCTCTCCTCCCTTCAGAGAAAGGTACCTCCTTCTTTGACGGCCCTTTCTTTCCGCCGGGACCTCACTCACAGAGATCTTTCATGTAGGTCATTTTTTGCCAGAGTATCTTGGCTTTCCATGCCTGAAATGCTCTCATAGGCTTTTTTAGCCAGATCCGGATGCCTCAAGAGCTGATTCTGAGGCAAAAGTGCTGTTTAGGGCATTTGCCATTCTATGAGTCTGTTGTGTGCCCTGCTTCCCATGTTGGATCATTCGCTCCTTTTTAATTTTATCTATTATTATTAGTAGACATTTGGTCTTATTTATGTGATCCCTTTAACACTTAATCCTATCTTTATGATCAGTTAGGAACTTAAACTGATCACTTTAACTAGTAAGATGGCATTGGTACCTGCCAACTTAATCAGATTTGGAGTCCCATGGCAAGTTTTTAACTTTACCCTTAGGGTAAGTCCAAGAGAACGTGTGCCGAACTGTACATCTCCTCTCTCTCTTATTCTCACTCTTATTTTTAATAGGGATCAATTTTCAATTGGATTTAAACATATAAGAATAATTCTGTGTTAAGAGTTGAACCAATGGTATTAAGTAAAAAAAGAAAATATTATTAAAAAGAATAAAATAGTAAGCTGTTCCTCGACAGTCAGGACAAAGGCTGATCAAGTCATTGTTTCTCATAGTGTCAGTTTCACTTCTACAGGTTTCCTTTTAGGTGTTCAGTTAGTTGTTACAGATCAGGGAGGTTCCTTTGGGCATGGCTTATTTCACTCAGCATGTTTTCCAGATTCCTCCATTTTGGTGCAAATGACAGGATTTCATTTTTTTTAACCACTGTGTAGTATTCCATAGAGTACATATCCCATAATTTCTTTATCC